ATACACATACGGTACAAGATTTAATCATACAGCCCCATGGTATATGATATTTTCACAAAACTGATGAATTACAGCAACCATGCAATATATCCATTATACAGCTCCGTGGGATGGCATATACGGGTCCGTTGTTTTGCGTGCATCCATGGGTAAAGATAAATGCCATGTTGTGCCTGAACACGTGACAGCAACGTGCCGGAGGCGCGGTCCCAGGTGCGTTAGATGCGCCGTTCATAATGCAGCAGGGAAATAACTCTCAGAATGAGACGTTATTAGCACCGTTTTTACAACTTGAAGGAAGCGCATGGTTTTTTAATAAGGGCTATACGAGTGTTCATACTGGGTAGTATTTACGTCCTTAAAAAAAAATTATCCAACCGATTTACAGACCACTCTTTCCCCATAGTAATCAATGAGAAAAAAGTGTTTCCCGGGCTGGCAACCAAACGAGTTTAGTAACCGCCGTTTGGCCACCAACCGAGGACTACTTTTCATCTGAGTCACGGCGCACCAGGAAGTGTGCCGGACTCTGTGCGGCTTGGTTTGTGTCCAAACGGCGGTACTGCAACTTTCCGATCAGTCCGTGACGTCACCCCGGCCCCAAGTGGCGAGAGTCCCCTCCCCCTTCCGGGGGAGCTCCACATGGGAGCCTTATTTCGAAAAATTATGTATTGGAAGTCAATGGAGAGAGAAAGATTATCTTTCGGATTTCCCGTTTGAAACTGTGCAACGAATTACACATACTGATGTTTGTCAATTTAAAAAAGATAATTTGCAACAGTCAAAAAAAATAAAAATGTGTCGTAAAACCGTGAAGTAACACTATAGTGGCTTCCCCTCAATTCTTAAATTCCACCCTCGACTCTTCCTCGATGACTTAGTCCCCGCCCACAGGAAAGATGCGAGTGGGAGGAGCCGAAAGGGAACCGAGGAGAGAGGAGGCGCGAAGCAGCAGGCGGTTAGAGCAAACGAGAACCTCCTCTCCTCTGACGCGGTCCATCTTTAAAGAGAACGTCCACTAATGGTGAAGAGGCACAGCACACTCTCTGTCTGTGGACAGATGTGTTCATGACCACTTATATAAGGGGAGAGAGGTTTACCTTCTCTAATTTAATTTATTGACAAAAGAACAACTGCAATTTATGAAATTACGGCCAAAAGTTGTATTTACAAGTATTAAAAGTAAGCCAAGGACACCAAACCAACTGCAGACCCGTCCGTCACGCATTACGCACTGTACAACACACCACCTACACATTGATGTACCAACACACACCTACACGCTGTACAACACGCTATCTCTTATTTATCACTGTATCTTTTTTTTTATTATCTGTCTCTTACCTATCTACACTGTTACCGACACACACCTAGCAGCTCCTACAGCATAATCAGGCTACAGCCGTTGTGTATTTATTTATGTGAAGTAAACTATGAGTTTAATAGAAAATATCGATCTTTGTTTTGTTAGATTATTCTTATCTATTTCTATTATTAAAGTAGTATTGTTAGTTTGCTTTGTTTATTTATTTTCTTGATGTTGATATATTTTTTTATTTATTTACCATTTCAACTTCTCTCTGCTTTTTTCTGCACTTCTTGTGTTCTTTTTTCTATCTATGTCTGTCTTCTCTCGTGGAAACTCGCCGACGCGATGAAAGCAGTTTTCTAAAATAAATATGCCAATGATTCATGCACGAGCCGTCATTGGCTGAGATAGAGTCCGGCCGTGCCGTCACGCCTCCACCGTCCGGAAATGCATCCTGGAGGAACCAATCAGTGTATCCTCGGTTAAGCTCTCCAGAGAGCTCTCGACGCTCGATCCTCATTGCCATTTAGAGAAATGAGATGTCCTTCAAGCAAATGGGCGTCTGAAATTCATTTCAGGGTCACTACTGGCAGGACCCGAGGTTTTGTGTATTTATTTTGTATTGTTTTTTCTTGATTGTATACCTTTTTCTATTTTGTGTGAAATGCTTTCAATCTATTAGATGTTTCCGTTCTTACTGAGCTTTGTTTCTTTTGTTTCTAATAAAAGGGATAACTACCTTCACTACATCAACACAATGAAACACGTCCAGAAGAATGTCACTGCAAAGCTGACTTCCTGCCCCTTGCTTTGATCTCTCTGAACTGCCTGATATTTGTAATCGGTTTATGTCAACCAATTTGTGCAGATAGCATGAAGTAGAAAGATCGCCAATCTATATTTTTTATTCTTTTATGTCATTTTTCCTTTTCTCCTCTGCTTATATATTTTTGTGTTATTTATTATATTGTTATCTATCATTCCTTGGTGTTGACAGTACTCTCAATATACTAACTACTCTTAGATTTAACATTTTGGTACTTAATGTTCACGTTCATGTTAAGGCTCAATCAAAATGAAAAGGGTACGACACTGTAATGCTAACTAACGTGCTTGCTTCAGCTAGGTAGCTACTTGATCCAGCCACTCCTGTCCTTTGATCAAGACGGGAAGCGAAAGAACGAGCAAGACCCATTGCTGGTATGATAACAACCTGGTACTAAGCACACAGGCATCTTGTTAAAGTTATCTTATCTTAGCTATCTCTTATATTTAGCGGAGGAAAACAATTGTGACATCAGTTATGACATCACTTACGCGACTCTGGGATTGGTCCATTTGGAACAATCTGCGGAGCCGTTACGTTACGTCACTATACCCAAGAAGTAAACAATGGAAAAAGAGAAATCTCCAACGAGGCGTTCATGGGGGCAGCATAGGCAGGTCTTGTCTGTGTTTAGAGTTTTACTCGCTACAAGGTGTACTTTGAGGGTTTGTGTCTCTGCAGACCGTTTACATGCAGAAAAAGCTACATAACACACAAGGGGATTGGTAATAACCAGAATAGCATGACATGGGACCTTTAAGTGATTTACACAACTTCCCCTGTAAATTGTTACACTAATGTATGTTCTATACTATATTAAATAACTATACACATAGAGACATTAAAAAAAACTAAAATAATGTATTAGAGGTTAGACCTCTATATTGTTAGCTAACATTAGCCAAATAAGCGACTACTCATACAGCTCAGTAGTATCAAAACCTCTTGGAGTAGACGTACATTCTACTGCAAATCCTATTCATTTTTGGGCGGTGATAATCTTGTCTTTTTGGGAGTCCTGGAGCTTTTTAATGATGAACAAAAACAACTCTTCTGACTGTAGCCCAGGTCATTTTAAAGCTTTGCTGCTCCTAAGAAAGATTTCTATATTTAAAAAACTGCCAGTCGTGGGTAGATCTTGAAAAGGTCAAACCTGCTTTTGATTCATCATGATTCACCTCCCCTGTACTCTCTGTAGTCTGACCTAAACCCCAAAGCCTTCCCCTTCCTCCTGCTTGAACAAATTGTAGCTCTTAAAAACATCTCACGACACGGGCTGCCTGTAACGTTCAGAGGTGTTTCTAAAATCCTTCTGACTACAAAGAAAAACGTACACCCCTCCATTGCAGAGATGATTTGTCCACTTGCAATAGGTTACTAGCTATATCCAGATTTTTGTCAGACTTACCCCACGGAAATAATTACCCTTGTGTAATGTCAGTGATTGCTTATGTCTCTGTTTCCTCTCCTTACACAGACATAAATGAATGCTATGAAGCTCAAATGAAACAAGAAGACCTCTGTGGAAGTGAAGGGACTTGCATTAACAGGAATGGGAGTTACTGGTGCAGCTGTTCAAAAGGATACACCAACTACGGCAACAACAGCACAAAGTGCTCATGTGAGTTTACAGAGTCCCTCTCCATCACCGTTACTTACGGTCATGTCTTTGTATGAAGCCTCGATTTGTTCACACCCTCCCTTTATAAACTTCCCATCACAGATACCATTGTAGTAGATTTGTATTTTTGATGTATTGGCTCATCTGATTACAGATAATCTGTTGCGTAACTCTCACAGGATAATATGCATGCCTTTCTGTTCAGAGCTGCTGCTTTGTGTAGATTTGTATTGCAATCCTCTGCTATCAATGCATGCTGTTGTGAAATTACGAGTTCAACCAGTGAGATGATTATCTGTTTCGCTCTGTTCCATCTAGCACTCAAGTGTGACAGCTTCAATGGAAACGGTGGACCCGCCTCGGTAAGCTGCATGTTTAGATATACCATTTTTTATTTTTTATCGTATCAACTTTATTCTTACATTTTTCCCTGCAGCTGATAGTGCAGTGTAAGATATAGTCCAGCGCTGTGGGTCTTTCTAAGAAACATTTAAGCCAATTTCCTCTATTTCCAGACCTCCCTGCAGCCCTCTCTTTAGTATAGGGCAAACTGAATACCCTTATTATTCTGTCTCCGTCTCTTAGTCGCTTGGAGGCCTGGCAGACATTTTGTTCATGATGAGAAACAGCTGTTTGGCTCTTTCTAACCCAAGTGCTGTGAGTGAAGTGAAGACTGATGGAGAGGCGCTCCTTGAGGTAGACAAAACACAAACATTCTTACACATACAAAAATACAAACAGTATTCTCAAAACCTGCTCTCACATTCTGCAACTTGAACAGAAACTATTCACTGCGGCCGAGTCCATCCTATCCCCCGGGAAACTGAACAGCAGTGAAGATGTGAGCGGACTGCTCAGCACGATGGAGAATGCTATTATGCTCATTGGACCACAACTGAAAGATAAACACACCAGGATGGAGACCACTGAGACAGGTTAGGGTGGTGACAGCTAGTGATTAACATACTGTATTTGAGAATTCATAAGCTTACAGGCCATTTCTATGGATGAGGATGCATGCTGAGTTCAATGGAATACTCCTCCTAAAAAATTAACAGTTGTAGATCCATTACTCACTCTGTTTTAACTCTCAAAAAAGAGTTTCGTTATGGTCACTTCTTCCCAAACACATGCATTTTTGCTACAACCACTATTTAAAGCACTAATTTGATTTCTTGTTCAACGCGGAGAAAAACAAAGGTTTTTTCACAAAATAATGTTAACACTGGTTGAGTAATAGATTTACAAATGGTCATTTTGTGGGTGAAGTATTCCTGTAATAAATGAAGGTGAGAAAACTGTGATGTAAACTTTGTACTTTAAATTGAGTTATTTACTCGAATAGAAGTTGAGATTGCAGTGCAGAGGGGAAAGACTCGGCCCACAGGACTAATTCAGCTGACCAATGAGGTTGCTACACTCGACACTGACTGGACAACAGCAGCTGGGATGGGACCATACCCTGGTAAACCACTTTCCTCATCTCTTCGGACAAATTTGTCCAAATTTTAAGTTTTATCGATGATTACTATTATATTTCTAAAACAGGTTTTGCTCTGGCTGCATTGTTGAGCTACAAGAAGCTTGAGAAATCGGTTAACCGGTCGTTTGAGGGGCTCAAAGGACATGAAAAAGACGGAGTGACTCCTTCCTTTCAGATCTCCTCCAAAGTTGTGTCTGTTATGGTTTCTAATCCCAATACTCAGCAACTGAATCGCAACGTGACGATCACCCTCAGACATCTACAGGTAGTCTCTTCTGTCTTCTCAGTGTAGCATTTAATCTTTGCTCAAACATTTTAGAAATGTTCAAATGCTTTGTATATATTGAGCCTGCTTTTGACATGATGGTATTGTTTGTGCATAGGATACAGAGGAGTCGGATGAGCTGAGCTACATCTGTGCGTACTGGAAAGAGAACGGGACCTGGTCCACAGATGGTTGTTATCAACAGGAGTCCAATGCCACACAAACTGTGTGTACATGTGAACATCTGAGCAGCTTCGCTGTGCTCATGGCTCTCTACCCCATGAAGGTATTAAGCAGACAAGGCAAATAAAAAAGCCATAAAATTTAAATGTTATTGGGAAAAGGCCAACTTTAAAAGGCAATAAAAGTCCTATAAAACATTAACTTTTCATATATTTAATTCCTACAAATGTAGGATTTATTATTTGTATTGATGAATTCATGTTCAGTCTTATGCAATGTTTGGCCCAAGCAGGCAGCTGTTTTAAGTTAGTAAATTAAAACATAGTCGAGCATTTAGCTACTGAAGAGGTAGATATTTCTCTCAGGAGTTGTTGGAGAACAAAGAAGAGATTACATTTTGGCCTACCAGCTGCTAGTTGGCCGGAAACACAACTCTAAATACTTTCCGATGTTTCCTCGTAAATTCTTAGTGTGTAAATAAGCAGCTGTTTGCTTGTAAGAATCACGTTTATGAAGTGATAATACTCGAATGTTGTGATTACAACTTGTTTATGCTGCCTCCAAGTGGCCAAATTATGAGTTATTCTGAGGGACAATAAACTTGCTTCTCTATTTCTGAATCTTCCTTACCCACACATACATGATGTTGCAAATAATACACTCAGGATCTAATGTCTCTCCTTTGTTAGCACTCATTTGGGCTCCAGGTGATGACCAAGATTGGGCTGACCATCTCCCTGCTGTGCCTCGTGCTGTGCATCCTGACGTTCAAGTTCTGCCGCTCCATAAAGGGAACCCGCACCACCATCCACCTTCACCTCTGTATCTGCCTCTTCGTAGCTGACCTCTTCTTTCTGGCCGGCATCTCACAAACTAAACCTGTGGTATGTGTGCAACAAAATTGTGTATTCAGTTTCAAGAACCGCAATAACTTCACTATAAACATAGTCTATACAAATACATTAATTTTATTTAAATGTTTACATTGGGTAGAACATTTCATTCGTGTTGACACGCAGTGAAGCCTGTGTAAAACTCAAGAGACACATTCACTTTCGAGCGCTGCCTCAACGTTAAACCTTAAACCCCTCTTCCTGCCACATTACAGTTTAAACCCCTGTGGTTACCCTGAGAAACAAAAAGAGGCGGTGGTAGAAACTGTGGCTGACAGTGGAGTGGAAAAAAACTAAAAAGGAAGTTTGTTTGTACTTCTTAATGTCTTGTGTCTTAATCAATGGTGGAAATTACCTGTGAATTATTTGCAGTTTTTATGAACCTGTACTTTTCATTTATGCAACTGTAAATTGTAATTTCAGAAGCACATATTAAACCACTTTTTTCGGATTTTACTAAAATGATTGTGCAGTTCTTATAAAAGTATTTAAACTTAGCAGTGACCTGGTTCAGTATTTTTTAAACTGTTACTAAACTGTTATTCATGTTAAGTTTTAAAATGGTTAACATTAGTACTTTTACTTCAATTAATAAAGTTTCAATCTTTCATTTAAATAAATGTCTGGTACGTCATTATCTATTGCCGAATAAGGTTAAAGAATAGTGATTGAGCCTACTGATAAAAGCACTTGTATTTAGAGTACAAACTGGGTGTCTTTGGCGACATTCCCTGGAAAAACACAAGCGTTCTTGCGGAAGTGAAGAGAACCTAAAACACACTAACAATTGTCCCTTATAGTCATAAGATGAATAAATGAAGATCTTCAACATTGTTACTTTAAGTTGGTTGTAATGATTTAAGGACTTTTTTGTACAACTATTTTTAATGCAAGGATTTTACAACATTGTAAAACAATTGTTATACTACTACTTCTTACTAGTCTTGTTTTGATGAATCCAACTCTAATTGAGGTCATCATGATGATGTAAAACAGCGTGGTCATTTAGTTTTCAAAGAATTGTCTCGATCAGATTACTGCTGTGAGACATTTCATTCCTGTGCTCCTTCCTCTCTGACCTTATATTTGTCTATGTTGTCATGTCATACTATAACAGGGTGGGTGCAGCTTCGTTGCAGCGATGCTCCATTATTTGTTCTTGGCCGTGTTCACCTGGATGCTGTTAGAAGGGGTGCAGCTGTACCGTATGGTGGTCCTGGTGTTCAACGCCACCATGCGCCCCCTCTACTTATACCTCACTGGTTATGGGACACCCCTTGTTATCGTCGTTATTTCTGCCATCATTAGACCAAGCGGATACGGCACTGACCAGCAGTAAGTGTTACATCTGTTAGCATGCGCCTGATGTGTGAAACTAATGACATCATTGCATTACACCAACCTGCTGCTATCTATGTCAGTGATGTCAGCAAAACTCTTTCCTGCACATGTGTTCTCCTTCCTCTCAACCAGCTGCTGGCTATCCCTGAAAGACGGCCTCATCTGGAGCTTCTTTGGCCCTGTGTGCTTCATCATCATCCTCAACGTCTTCTTCTTCTTAGTCACCGTCTGGAAGCTCGCCCAGAAGTTCGCCACCCTCAACCCAGACCTCACCCAACTGCACAAAATTAGGTGTGTGTGTGTGTGTGTGTGTGTGTGTGTGTGTGTGTGTGTGTGTGTGTGTGTGTGTGTGTGTGTGTGTGTGTGTGTGTGTGTGTGTGTGTGTGTGTGTGTGTGTGTGTGTGTGTGTGTGTGTGTGTGTGTGTGTGTGTGTGTGTTGCAAATTAGTCGCTTTTCAGCGCCTCCCGCTTTTTTAACGCTGATTTGGGTGATTTGAGTTTTGGGGGTGG